AAGTTGATCTTCTTTTCCTGTAAGGAACTGAGTCTGCTTAATGATATGATGATGCTATCGCTATGCCAAATTGCAATATTTTTACATCTCATGCAATGTTGCATTGTCTGGTAATTCTATAGATGTATTTGTGTATGTACGATACATTTTTTCAGATAATCCAAACAGACCACACCACCAATTAGTTTGGATTACCAGGGTTCTTCTGTATTGTTTTCTTTTAAAGCTTGGTGCTGTGGTTTTGAAATAGTTATCCTTAGTTTGTGCATTTTTTAACGTCAGTTTGTGTTGCTAATTAAAGTTTGCCTTCCATTGGTGCTAAAATGGTTTGTCATTTATTGTGTAAAGATTTTCTAGAGAGGGCAAAATCCCTCTTAAACAAAAGGAAGAGTATCCAATCGCTTTTCTAAGAACTTGGATCCAATTTTTACTGAAATCAATAAAATATTGAAATGTATAGGTCTCTAGAAATTGCAATGTAATTGTGTATTTTATATTACTTATGCTGAACATTATGAGTTTGAAAACTGCAGTTGGTGTATAATTATTTTTGCTAGATTTGGAACTTAAACGTGTGGACATCAGAATGGAAATAGTTTGTAGCCAAAGCTGCCAGTTTGAAAAGTCAAATTTTGGAAATTTTGTGCCAAAAGTATTGAAAACCAGTGATTAACCATATCAGTTTGCAATTGATATTGGCCAATAATATTTCTAGTTGCCTTAAAAGACATACATGTGTATAAAATTTTGAATAGTTTACTAAAGCTATAGATGCAGTTCATCTAATTGTACAGAATCAAGCAGTTGAGCCATACCTTAGAAAAACCTTAATCATCAAGTGTCTATGCATTAATGATCTGCATTTTCCACCTTTAATTATCTGTAATTTTTGCAGGCACCTTCATGATCGTGATCGTCGAAAACGTGACATGACCAAATGTTTTAATCAACGGGCTGTGACTAGACGAAGAGATCGACAGACTGGTCTACTTGATGTTTCGTACACCATTAAAAGTGTTTATGAGATGGTTATTGATTCTGCCCCTGTGACAGTACTGAACATAGAACTACGTTGCAACAAGACACTAACTCCATGGTGTGAATGTGAAGAATCTCAAAAGACCGATATTTCTAATAAAGGTTCATTTAAAAAGCCTGATCCAAAAACTTTATGAAAGTGATGAATTTGTTTAGTTCCTCTTACATTTGATTCTTGCTAGAGTATATACAAGATGTTTTGTATTCCAGTGATATTGAGAAAACAGATATAGTACAAATATTTCTATTGCTTGGGACATCAAATATGAATTGGAGGGAAGAGGACAACTTCACATTCAAAACCAGAGGGGGGGGGGGATCCTTCTCTAAATCTTGGTGTGTACTCTGAAAAAGCAGATTGGTTTAACTATAAAACAATGTACCACAATAAGGGTTTGTGGTACCTAATAATACTAATAATATCACTTTTGAACACATTTAGAGGTAGATCTATCAGAAAATACACAAAATACTAGAAGTACTGAAATTTGTAGTACTGAAATATATCTACTGAAACATGCTCTTTTCTTTTATAGGACATATAAAAAAAAAATTACTTACATCTTTACTGTATATTAGAAATTGAAATTATATGTAATGCTCCTATTATTTAAAAATAGTGGACTTGGTTTAACACCTTCCGAAAGTAGATTCATTCATTAGTAGTATATTTTATTGTTTCAAGTGTCAGTAATCTTCTTGATTTTTCTTGCACCCGAATACCATACATACTGAACATAATGACTAATTAGTTCATTGGAAATTATTATAATTATCAAAAACAAACTTATTAGAACTGAAGAAACATTTTCCAGGGAATTTATTTAAATTTTTTTGAAAATGTAATATTATTTTTGTATCCAGTCTTGAGTTGCACTGTGTGTTTCATTTGAAAACTAATTAATCTGAATGTTTGCCATTTATTTCGGATACTATAGTATTTATATCAGAGGTACTTTAACTAGGCTGTACTCTAATCAAATTGAAAAATTTGATGTGTAGGTATTGAAAAAAAGTCAAGAAAGAAACTATCAAAATTATATTTTTTGTGAAATTACACATTTGTCTTCAAGTGAAGACTACAATAATGTTTAAATTTATTTTTCCATATGCATAGGTTTTTGTGTACTCAGGTAAAAGTTACAAGTGCATTGTTTCAATAATTCTTAAATACCAAACGACTTCAGAATAGAATCAGAATCATATAAACTAAACAACAAAATACAGTGTGTTTGGGGGGCTAAGCTTTTGCTTATATATGAACAGTTTCATTTCAAATTGAATTGGTTCATGAAGAAAACTAGTATAGACGAAGTTATTTTTTTATTTCATCTGCGAATGGAACAGCATTTGATGACTAGAGACAATGGCCTCTATAGTGTTTAATTGTGTTTTATATTTTTAAACTTTTTTATTTAAATTCTTAAACATACACATTATTATTTACAGTCTGTCCTTGATAAATTATTTTATCTAGTTGCTTACTAGCACATGAACAAAAATTCTCTGATTTTCTTAATAATAGTGCATTTGGTTAATTTTATTTTTATTCGGAATTACTCCTCTTTGGGACATGTTCTACCTTACACAGATTGTGTTATTGTATGAATTATTATTGCAAGAAATTGGTGGAGAAACACTAAATGAAATGAGTGTGTACATTTTGAATTATGGTGTAGGATACCAGCAGTTACTACAAATTTTCAAATCTGCAACATCACATGAAAATTCAGTTGAGGTTGACTTCTTAGCAATTTTGTTCTTTTCTGTCAGTTTACTTGGCAAAACTTTCTTGGAAAGATTTTCTGTCAGTGTATTTAAATTTTGAATATCCAGTTTTTCACTTTTCAATAAAAATTAAATTTTAAGTTATTGAGAAAGTTATGATTGTAATAAAAGTAGTTTCAACACAATGATACATAATTTATGTATAAAGGAAATTATCTACAAAGATTAGTCATATCAGATTGTAAATGATGATAATATGTTGTAGTTTGAAACCATGTTCTTTTCTATAAATGAAAACATATTATTAAATTATAATATTTCATGTGATGATATTCTTTCAATGTCATCAATTTTATGAAGAAATGCATAAGAGAATCTTCATGAAAAGGCATCCTTGTAGCTTTAAATTTAATGTATATAATCAAACAGGCAGCTGTGGAGGATGTAAATCATATCATAATGAATTCTCAGAACTAAAAATGAGATATTGATCTATGCGAAAACAGTGCATGAGAAATTGTAAGATGCTCGCTCTTCTCTTTGTATTGTAATTTTTAATTTATCTTTGTTATCAGAGATTCAATGAATATCTTGGATTTCTCAACAAAGAAATGCATCAGTCTCAGAATGTAATTAAAGAAATTTTTGTTTAAAATACGTGTTGTTTTTTTTTTAATACTAGGTAATAGTTTAATGGCATTTGGGTAAAGAGCATTAGTTATTATGAATAAAAATGGATGTTGCTTAGGGAGCTACATAGGACACAGTCTAGATGAAAAATCTTGTGTTAAAATTTACTGAATTATTGGAAAATGGTATTCTGTTTTGCAACAATGGCACATTTAAATCAAAATTATTTCTTTTTTCTATTCAATTTGACAAATTGGCTTTTATTACTATGCTCCCTCAACCTGATCATTGAGTTAATTTTGTTCTATGTCTCAATGTAGAGGATAATCACAATTTTATTAGCTTAAATATTATTTTTGTAAAAGTATTCTCTGATATGTTAGTATGCATATTCTGGCTCTGTTGTAGTAATGCATATAGTTCATTTACAGAAAATGCTCAATTGTGCTAGCAGATATTTAAGTATGTAGACTGATTTCTGGTATGTCCAGTGAGTGGCATGTTTCATCATTTATATCGTAATTAATCCTTAAGTTTTTATTTGAATCCTTGTGTTTAAACAAAGTGTAAATAAGATAGATATATTTTGAAAAATGTCTACTGGGAGAAAATTAAAAGGTACTAGTTGGCTTGGAAAACAAAATATGAAAAAATTGTCAATGATTGTTTTCAGGATGAATAACAAAACGGCAAACAAAAGGTGAATTGGATTAAAAATTCTTATGCTCAGTTTGCTTCAAGAACAAAATTAAAAAAAAAATCAGTCAATCCTTGTTCACAGGATGAATAACAAAAGTCTAAATAAAAGGTGAATTGGAATAACCTTTAGTTGGAATTTACGTTCTAGTTAACGTTCAATTGTCACCACTAATATCACCATAATAAAAACATTACAATGACACTTCAGCCAATAATCATGATTGTAGAACACAACAGGATGTGTTGAAAATGTTGCACTGTGTATAAACCTTGAAAACTAAAATTTGGAGTAAAACTGCCACCTGTGTGCCTATTAGGAATTAAAAGAAAATAATAAAAATGGCTATCTTCAATAAACATGTTGAGAAGTTTTCTAATATCTAAATAATTTTGCCAAGTTCTGTTTGATATAGGTTGCTTTTCCTGTAATACAAAATAAAGATCTCGTAAGAATACAGCTTTAAACACAAAAATTATGAAAACAATTTTTATTTTACTCAAAAATTTGTAAATTGCTGTAAAAGCTTCTTCATGGTGATTCATAGCTCTTCTGTGAAGCAAAATTGAAATGAGTTGGAAAAAAAAAAAAAAAAAGAACGATTACAATACAGAACGTAACAGTAAGCACTGATGAAATGTTTTGATACAATTAACGAGAACAATGAGTGCGTAGGCTGGAGTTGGTAGCTTCTTGCCTGCCAGGGAGACACCACATCCTAGGCACAGGCTCCCAACATTTCTGACGCCATTCTGTGACATCCTTCAGGGCAAAATGCCAAGTATTTTGCCCTGAGGAAGCCCAGAATGCCAGACATTTTGCTCTGAGGAAGCTTGAAATGTCAGCCATTTCTCCCTGAGGAAGGTCGCTGAAAGTCATCCAGAACATTGGCACCTGTGCCTAGGACATGGGGTCTTTGACAGTCGAGTAGCTAATGAGAACAAGCTTAAAATGATTTTCATATCAGTTTATTTAAACATTCGGAGGGATTATACCATATACCATAATAATTTCCATAATTTCTAAAATACAATTTATTCATTAATTTTTGGTATGTCCAATTAAATTATTTTTAGAATTAAAATCATCAAGCATTCTCCTGTTGTTACTTTCTACTCCTGTATGTTTTTTAATTCTTGTAACAAATTCCAACATCTTGTGTGACATGAATTCTCCCTAAGATTTCAACTGCATTTTACAAATACCTAAAAAATGTGCCATTTGCACATTATGGAATCTTTCTCTCAAGTGTAAAGGGTGACTTTCCAATACAGTGCTGCTTTTTTTAAGTTGATATTTTCCATTTTTGTTACTTGAAATAATTTGTTGATATCTTTGAGTAGTAAGCAGATGATTTTTCTGTGAGAAATAGGGGTAATTACTTCAAAAAATTGTTTTTGATTAAGGACTTAAAGTTTTGGTGGTGTGCCTAATTAAAGTGCAATTATGAACTTTTTGATATTTTAAATATTTTTTTTAAGAGTTCTTTAAGAAATATTTGTTTTTGCTGTGTTCTTTAAAGTAAGTCTCACTTTTCTAAAAGCATGTTTAAAGCTGAATAATCACTTCTAACCATTATTCTCAGTACTTTTGCTATTTAGATCTTGTATGTAATTCCAAAATTAGTTCAGTGATGAAGTGCTGTGAAAAAGCTTAAGTAACGAGATTTTAACTTGTAATTATTAAACAACTATTAATAATCTTGTTGAGTATGAAAACGAATGGATGGAAACCAGAATCGTATTTAAAATATAAGTGATACTTTATAAGTTTCTAGAAATCTTTTTATTTAAGTTGATATCACTGTAAAGTTGTGATTTGTTACATCATTAAAACCACAGTATTTCAATTGTTCATTTAAACCACAAAAATACATTGCCACTGAAATGTATCCTAAAATAATCACTTTTTTCTCATAACTTATAAAACGTCACTTATATGAGTCATTTCAATGGTTTTCACACTATCAAATAACAGTAAATGTTTGCTGAATCACCTTGATTCTCAAATTTGACTTAACAAAACCAAAAAAAAAAAATTTAAAAAGAAGTAATTTTGTTAATTTTAAAGATGTCATAGTACTTTAGTTGAGAAGTATGATTGAAGGATAATATGGATTGATATTAGATTGAAATAACGTATTAAAAATTGTTACTTTCCATGAAAGTGATTTTTAGTGAATTTCAAAATAATGTTTCACTAAAATGAGTGTTTTCTTTTCAAGAGATATAACTTCAAAAAATGTGAATGAAATATTATAAGAGTATATTACTTTGCTCGTTTTCATGGCAGAATAAGTGTAACTTGTTTTGAAGGAAAATGGATCTGGCTTCAAAATATCCCAATATTAATTCTAAAAATGAATTTAAAATCAGTTACAATTATTGGTGCAATTATTAATGTCAAATTAAGAAACAATAACCTGAAAGTTTAAGATAAGTGAAATCTGGTTGGTTCCATTTTAAACATTGTCCTAATTCAATATTTGCGGACGTTGGCTGCATTACGTTTTCTACATCAATTTAAGTTTGAACTTGCCTCAAGTTGTATAGTGTAGGACCCAACGATGTAATGAGCGGGAACAAGCCATGATGTACAACATTACCAGTTGATCGATATCAAATACGATTTGATCGCAAACACTTAGAATTGAGAGGTACAATTGTTCTGTTTTATTTGTTTATTATTTAACATTTTTTATGGGGGTGAATGAATTATGTTGCCAATACTGTTCTTAGGAACTGAGTTATGGGTCGGCGAATTCGACGTTTACTTGTGACGAATGTTGGTAGCCCTTGTTATTTGTGCTGACCGTCGCTGAACTAGTGAAGTGACGGGCGGAGATGTTATGGTTTCCGCAGGCGTCCGTGTAATTTGCTCGGAAATTTTCTTTTAACATCTGGAAAAGATTTCATCTCAGAGGTGAGATTTAACAGACGCATTTGTAGTCATTAAAATGTCTTTTGAAATGCCCAATGGGATTAAACGTACAAAAATTTAACTTTAATTGCCGTTTTCGGGAACCTTGATTTTGACAGTAGTGAAGGGTTTAATGCGCGAGAAATTGTCGTTATGAATTTTGTTAATTTTCTATCGAAGTAAATTAGAAATCAAAATATACAAGTGCATATAATATTGCCTTGTGACATTGATTGTATTTCTCACATGTGATGTCATGTTTACAAGATGTTTTCGGAGGAGTTAATTTCTTCTTAATTGTGATTACCGTAGAAGTTTAAATCAGACTTGTCTTGATTTTCACTATACTTGGATATTAATGGCTATTATTGCGTCGTCTCTTTATAGATTTGTGAAAATGGATGGTGGAGACAATTGCGTGTATCACGTGGAGAGTGGCACAGAAAGTGCCAGTCAACAACAATCGGCGGAGAATGGGGAAGGTAAGTCATTTGTTACTTGCGTTTTGTCTTGGATGTATTTTCTCGTTACGTATGTGGGTTTCACATTTATAAAGTGTTGTTGAATGTCGTCTTAGGAGTGGTCATTGCGTTAATTTAACCTAATATGTTAATTACTCATCAAATATTTATTTAATGCAGTTATCCGAATTCATTGTACGCGTTCAGGGTTTTGCGTTGTGGAAAATAGTTGTATATTTGTTTTCAAATTGAAGTGAATTAAAATAATATAGTTTATAGAGTTTTATGAGATGTAAACACGTGTATTATCAGTTATACATCACAGATCTGTCGTCTCAAAAAGTGCAATTTTGGTACATACATAAGATTATTTTTATTAAAATGTAGGCATTGTATACCCACATATTTACAGCAAAACCTCGCAGGATATATAAAATATAGATAAATATAGCAACTTTGTTTTCCTTTTTTAGTGTAAATGCCCATACAGATCTATCATTTCATCATTTCACGAAATTGTAATTTCTGCCGAATTACTGCAATTTCCAAACTTTTTTGCTAATATTTTTTGGCATTAGGCTCTTGCCCACAATTACGTACAGTAACCGCCTCGCTGAACATAAATGTCCCCTAGAATTCGATTTGTGGATGTGGGTAAAACTTCCTTAATGTGGTCCTTGCCCCCATTATTATAAAGGAAAGGCAATAAAATGTAAGAAGCAGTTGAAACTATTTAAAAAAAAATGCAAGTTTATTTTCCTTTAAAAGTGATACTCTTACGGCCATGGATCTAATAACTCACCTGCTTACTTTAAAAGCAGAAACAGAATTTCTCATACTGTCTATTTTATTAATTGTACGTTGTAGGATAAATTTGTTGTAGTACGTGGTCGTAGTATTCCCAACACCGTAGGTATATAATTGTTTTTTATTGGCGAAAATAGTCCTTTTTCTCAATCCAAAGATTATACGTTTCTGAATGTTGACAACGCTCATTCAAAATTTCATGAAAACTGGCTTTGCTGTCTTTGTGATTTTAGGGACATTCTGCGTTACTGTCAAAAGTACTAATTAATAAAAAAAGGTCTGAATTCAAAAAGATAGTGAGCTTCATTGTGATATATGTACTGATTTTTTCTCTCAATACCGCAGTTTGAGACCATGCGCGTCCGTTTGTTCCTATTTTCTTTAGAGGGCATTTTAATAATTTTAAAATGTTAATAAAATTAATTTTGAAAATAGTTTTTGAATGATGATTATTTGAATTACATTTGTTTGCTAAAGATTAGCTGACGACCTCGAGATGGTAATATCTGCGGAGGAACGGGTAATATTCAGTGCCGTGGTAATGCACGGGCCCGATCGGCTCGGGTCCAGGGCCCCTGATTGTTCTTAATAAATATTTAATACTAAGTTTTCAAAAAATAAAATAAGTATAAAGAGATATGTATGTTTTTAACTATACGCAAAAATGAGCAAAACGGAGTTGTGTGTCTCGTATCATTGAATAATATTTATAATATGGAATGTTGGAGGTTGATGCATTTCAATTTTATATTCTACAACCCAATAAAACATTGAAACTATTAATTTGTAGTCTTTTTCATTGTATTTATAACCGATGAGAGAACAAACAAGGCCAACTGGTATTGAATGCATATTGGAATAAAGAGATCGGGAACCAAACAGAATACAGCGCTCAGACTATAAAGATTTCGCGATTTTTCCATACGACCATTTCACGAGTGTACCGTGAATATCGGGAATCCGGTTAAATATCAAACCTCCGTCATTGCTGTGGCCGCAACAAGATCGTGCAAGAACGGGACCGACGACGACTGAAGAGAATCATTACACGTGACAGAAGTGCAACCCTTCCGCAAATTTTTGCTGATTTCAGTGCTGGGACATTAACAAGTGTCAGCGTGCGAATTATTCAACGAGACATTGATACGAGGTTTCGGAGCCGAAGGCCCACTCGTGGACCCTTGATGACTGCATTACACAAAGCTTTACGCCTCGCCTGGGCCCGTCAATACTGACATTAGACTGTTGACGACTGAAATCACGTTGCCTGATCTGACGAGTCTCGTTTCACGTTGTTTCGAGCAGATGGTCGTGCACGAGTATGGCGATCTGGGATACCTTGCAACGTGTTGTTCAGAAGAGATCTCCACCCCCTCGTACTGTTGCGAGTTTACAGATAACCCTGCATGATTCATGGTGCCAATTATTTCCAGCCCTACTTCAGACGTAAGTCAAGTCCAAGTGACATCGTGTTTGTGGGACTTCTGCATGCTCACGGGGGCCCAATACGATATTAGGCAGGTGTTCTAGATTTTTGTCTCCTCCGTGTAAATCTGTTATTCTTAGGTATTTCTACACATATGTTTAAATTTTGTGTTTGACTAATGTTAAATTGAAACACTAAGAAATACTTTCAATATATTAAAAAAAAATACAAAATACAATTTGAATTGATAAGATTTTCGTTATATTTCAGCATCGAATTGGGGGGGGGGGGTAGTGAGATCAGTTAAAGAAAGAATACGGGCCCCCACATTAACCTTTACCCAAGCGCCCCCAATGCTGTTAAAACGGCCCTGGTACAGGCTCGGAGGAAGTCCCGCACCATCTAATAGTTCTCTATAAATGTGCTCGCGCATTGGAATTTTCACAAACATTTTCTTCGTGCTTGAAATAACCATGTTCACTTCAAGAAATCTACCTCTCATATCCCCCGGCAACTCGTTGACGGGGATTGAAAAAACAAACTTTCAACGAAATAGCAGCTTTTGTCGCGTACGCTGCAGCATCTGAATACATTACAAGTACTCTTTCCTCCTTCACTCATTCATCACTATAATTTTCACCATTCACAAATCTTGAGATTGTCGCCAAATTTGTGCGTTCTAGGTCTTTGGTTGCTCTCAGGGGTTGCTTAGGAGCGTTCTCATGAAATAGTTTTCGAATTACCAAATTTGCTGTAACGGCCCATGGCAACCTGTTTCATCTACGGCAATATACATAAAGAAATCTCTAACTTCAGCTCTTATGATTTAAAGTGTTCCTAAATAGCAAATATGCAAATACTCCTTTCGGAGCGTTGGATCAACCGGTTTTATTTGTGTCAGCAAAACTTGTTCCTTTTAATTGTTTAGCTGTTTGTTTTTAGCTTGAAGTGCACTTAGTGTTAGAACATGTTGCTGAAGCTGTGACGTTATTGAACAATAATGTTTTTGTTGGACTCTGCACCATACAGTTTTCTCGTTAGTAGTAAATGTTTCATTTATTGCTATCCAAGACCATGGTTTAGCAGCCAGCTTACATGTAATAGGCACCAACTCAAAAAGTACAAATGGGTGATCTTTGGGACCAGCAATCACTGGAGTGTGCAGCACGTGTGTTACACGGCGGCAATCGCCAGTGTTTCTCCGAAATTGGAATTGAAAATCACAAAACTCGCTGATACTTATCACACCTAAAAGTACTCATACTCAGCGACCTGGGACCTACGGTCTCACTCAACCGTCCTTGAAGCAGATGCGGTGGGCATCCCACATCCGACCACGTGTTCTCGTAGCGCACCACAAGTAGTCAACCTGCAATAATGCATTATGTAGGAAAAATTGCTTTTTATTCTCATGAAAATATGTAATAACTAGTGATGCTAAAACAGTACGTACTTTCTCGCCCATATTTTCACGCAAAATTACGCGATAAGTACTCAAATGCTAAAAAAAAAAAAAAAATACAAGACCTTATTTAAAAATCTATCTTTAAGGAACAGGTTTTATTAAGGAAAATAAACTCTATCTTCATAATTGTAATTCTATATAGTAAGACGCCGAAAAAAATTGAATTTTTTGCAATTAAAAAAAAAATTAGGGTTTTCAACAATCATGAGACCTACACCATTCTCAAACGTCCTTCACACTATACAAAAAAAATCTTTTATTAAAAAACTACGAAGCCATTTTTTTGAAAATTAAGAAAATGACCTTGGGATTTGTGTGAAGTAGCCCCTAAAATTAAAATATCTGTTTCAAATTCAAGGGGCCGCGACACCAGCCAGATCGATTAGGGAATATAAATTTGGGAGAAAATCGGCTGAACGTTTGTCGTCTACCATTATTCACAGACGGACGAACATACGCTTTGCCATCATTCGATTTTTCCGTATCAAGGACCCACAAAACTTGTGCCCTTTTAAATAGCGGTTATAAATACAAATTAAAGGGCGCGGCGCGGCTCGTAAATGGACCATATCGTTGCTTCCCCATCATTGCAGTTTTTCTGATAAGCTCACAACAGCTGCAAGGTAGACTCGAAAAGCCGGGCCGTTTCTGCTGGTACCACGGTGCCCTGCTATAACAATTGTAGTCAGATAGATCGGCCGCTTTTATGACTTTGACGTGGAAGACCGCGAAGACTGTCACGTCAGTGTGATCATAATGTAATGGCTAATCAGTGTATGTTCGAAAGCTAAAGGAGTCCAAGTACAGTCGTTGCTGCCCGTGAGTAGATGACGGCGGTAAGCTAATGAGATAAGTGCTGACGAAAAAACGGTGGGATGAGAGGCAGAAGAGACGGGAGAAATCAGATAAATCTGCCGAAAGCTAACTTCTACCTTTTACTTTCTCGCTACGGAATAGAGAGAAAGTTATGTAATGATGCACGAATTTTCGACAGAGAAACGTATTATAGGGCCCTGGTAACGAAAAAGTTGAAACATCCAGTTGCTAAAGTTAGAAAGAAAAATTCTCTAACACGTGGTGTTGCCAGAATCCATATTTTGTGGGTCCTTGATACCGAAAAATCAAATGACGACAAAACGTCTGTCTGCCCGTCCGTTCGTTCACAACTCTCGCGGAAAATCATTCAGCCGATTTTCTCCAGAATTGATCTTCACGAATCCATTTGGCTAATGTTGCGGTTCCTTGAATTTGAAACAGACATTTTGATTTTGGGAAATACTTTACATGAAGCCCCTTTTCCAAATAAAATAAAAAAATGGCGCC